TTTCTTTTTTCCTATTTCCGTTGTGTTTTGTGTGCTTTTGCAACGTTTTCCTTATTGCTGGTGTTTCCTTACGGTAAGTTGCAGTCCGTTTGGCCTCTCAGGGCCACCGTACATTCTCTTTCAAAGCGTCTGCAGAGACAAAATGTAGCACCAAGCTAGTACTGTAGCAAAGAACCTAGGACCCTGAATGATGTTAAAGCTGAGTGCGCGCTAACCTGAGATAATTAGTCAGGCTTGTATTATTGCAGCTTCCATTTCCCACCATACTTGCCATGTACTCTATGTGATACAATGCAGTGTGTGTTTGGTGGTGGGTACAGCAGTGTAACAGCATTTTTGCCCTCCAGGGCTTCACACCAGTCGCATAACAAAACTATGAAGTAGTGCGAGACATTAAAATGTCCTCCATTGCTTAACATTGCAATCTATTTAGAGAAATCAGCATCATTTCCACCTCTGAGTTGGAACAAGTTCTCAGACACCTTCAGAAGTCCTTGCCAGCGCTAGCAGCTGCATCGTTAGCGCAACGCAGGTCCCTCTCACCTCCCACTTCCTCCCCTGCTGCAGTTTAAGCACTTCAAGGTGTTCTGATCGAGCTTCTGGGCTGATTAAAAGAGGGCCATGGACTATTGTGGAAAGCCTGCGATAGCTTTGAGAGGCAGGTAAAGCACAGTTCAGGACCTGATTGCATTGTGAGGAGGAGGCAGGTTTCAGTTAAAGGAAAACTCAAATGAAGACAAAAACAAAGGAGGGCCTCGTGAGAGCTGTTGGTTTTATGCAGTAGGAGCTGAATCCCAACCTGAAGCTGTGAAAATAAATGAGAAATTGTAAGACAATCCATGCTGCTTGTGTACTTTACGCTTTACCATGAAATTAACATACCATGTCGCATCCATATTTGATTCTTTTTTCTTATCTGGCCCCCAACATGATGAGAATCTGCACATCAGTTATGTAATTAACACTGCTGCATGTTCCCTTCATACCGGAGACGTTTATAAACAGCTTAGGGATAAAGCACACAGTTTATTTCCCATGTTCCCAGAACTGATAGCATATTAATTAACATAATCCATTACAGTTTAACTTGGGATTTCATTTAGATAAGATACAACAGAAATGTATCCTCTGATCAGAGCCTTAAGTGATCGAACCCCCTGCTCCCTCCTTATAACTACAGGTTATGTGAACTTTGATGTAACAGGCAGGAGTCTGCACTCAATGCAGAATAAATTGAAAAAGATGAAAGGAGGGGGGGAAGAAAAGCCTGAAACAATCAATTTTCCAAGACACTATTTGAAGATTCAGCGACAGACGGCAGCAGGGAGAGTTGAGAGGAAAATCCTCCGAAGGGCTGGTTCACTCTGTCTCTCCTGCCTCATCGCCGAGTAGGTAATAAATAGAGGCGGCGAGTGACTGGCTGAGTAAATACAAAGTGCCAAGCAGGCTCAGTCTCTGAGGGAACAAGGTATGGCAATAGAGAGAGAAAGGATGAGATTGGAAGTGGTGGAGGGCTTGGAGAGACAGGAAGGGATGGGAAGCAGTGTGAGAAGGATAAAGGTAGTCTTAGGGTTTGAGAGGCTAGAGAAGAGCCGGATAAAATCAGCCGCCTATTGGTGGAAAATGGAAGAATGGAAGAAGACATGGAGAGAGTGAAGATGAGGTGGGGATTGGAGAGCACTGTTAGAAATGAACATCATCTGAGAGAAGGTGAGGGGCTGAAGGAGGGCAGGATGAACCTGAAGAAAATCAACAATGAAGGAAAAAACGAGGCAGAAAAAGGTATAAAGATAAAAGGTAAGAAAATAAAAAGACAAAGGTGAGAGAGGGAGCAGAGAGGAGAAGAAAAGACTCAGAGAGAAAGAAGAGAATGAGAGAGCAAAATTTGAGAAGGTGCTGTTCATTGGCGGTGCAGAGGAGGGGCATGGCCCACCTGCAGGGATACAGTGAACATTTAATTTAGCTTCTGCCAGCTGAAGAACAGCAAGACTGTGAACACACACAAAAAAATGCTCACGCTCAGATGCAGGTCGTGCTTTCTGACAAATAATCAAAACCTCCAAACACTGAGAAACACAAACAGCCATGCTGAATCACAGGCTGCAGGAAACTGAAAACAGTAATAATTGCTACTTATTAACTCGTGCTAATTGATACAAATCAAAGGGCTTATTCTGGTTTAGGCATAATAGAAAATCCTCTGCAATCCTAAGAAGCACAGGTAGGGATAAATAAATACAGTGGGGAGGGATGCTAAGTAAAATGCAAAATAACCAAGGTGAAGGGTAGAGTAGGGTAGAGGTGAGGCTGCTCCATGTCGTTATAAGTAACATGCGATCTGATGCCACGGGTGTCTTGTAGAAAGAGCAGTTCTGCTTATACAGTGATCTTGTTCAAAGCAGGGTCTCTGTCTCCTTGATTCTTCTCACAAATGTAATAGCTGGGTAATTACATGCTGTCCTGTAAAATAATCCCACGAGGATCTCTCTGTGTCTTCAAGGAAAGGCTGGAGAGGCAAAGAAAAAGTGGACGGGGGATGAAAAGGTGAAAGATGGTACACAAAAACAGGAAACATGCAAAATTTGCAAATAAATATGGATTAATTTTGAATTAGATGACAACAAAGACGTTGGCTAGGCCCATGTAGCAGCTCCTCTTTTAAAGTCTGTAAATGTCTGGTAACAGACTTTTGGGAGAACAATGTTGTGCCATTCTCTCATTTCATGATGTAACAGATGTTTTCAACCAGTAAAGGGTCTGCACTGCAGGCAAGTTTGGACTCTTTGACTATGAAGCCGCACTGATACACTGAAAAAGATGTCATCTGGATGGGAACGTGTGTCATCCTAAAACATGTACATACCTTCCAGCACTGATTGTACCTTTCAAGATGTGCAGACTGCTAATTCCATAGATAATGATGCATCTCATCAGAGATGCGGGCTTTTGTTTTACGCGCTTATAACAAGCCGAATGACGCGTCTCCTGTTTTTTTTGTCCGATCACGTCACAGATTTTTACTTTGAGCCAAATCTAATTTAAAAAGAAGGAGATGGAGAAGTTGGCAGTGTTTATACATATGTGGCATTTTCATTGCATGACAGAGCTTTAACCTACGTTTGTGGCGAGCTGTGTTCACAGACCGTGATTTCTGAAACTATTTCTGAGCCCATGCAGTGAATCATGCCTGATTTTAAGGCAGTGCTGCCTGAGGTCCCAAAGATCACAGGCATCCAATACTGATTTTCAGCCTTGCTTTGGATTCTCTGACTCTTTTGATTATTTTGTGTACTATAGATGATGAGATATTCAAAGTCTGAGAGAATGTAATGTTAAAAACCATTGTTTGCTGTTTCCTTTTAGTACCACATACTTTCTAGCTTCTTTTTTCTGCCTGATCCTAACATCCCAAAGGGGTTCAGTCTGGTTAAGGTGAAGACTGTGCAGGCCAGTCAAGTTCTCCCACACCGGACTTGCTCATCCATGTCTTTATGGACCTTGCTTGTTGTTTGAACAGAAAGGGGCCATCCCCAAACTGTTCCCACAAAGTTCGGAGCATTAAATTGTCCGAAATGTCTTGGCATGGCATGACTCGAATGGCATCCTGGTACCATGCTGGAATTCACTGAGCTTCTAAGAGCGATCCATTCTTTCACAAGTGTTTGTTAAAGGTGTTTGCAAGCCTAGGTGCTTGATTTTCACATGTAGCTGTGAAAGTGAATACATTTGGTAATATATAGTGTATATGTAAAACACAGGAACATCCCAATCGTTCAGGTTTGCACCACTTAGGTTTTTTAATCTCATAAAAGCCAAAGCCGAGCCCGGCAATTTTATTCCATTAAAACAATAGAAATGTTAGAGAACATGTCTCGTGCTCAACGCTCGGTATTCTTGGCTTACATGCAGCCAAATGAGTGTAATGTTTAAGCAGCCATCCACATCCTAAACGGGCTTGTAACCAATTTTCCGGTCAATGGGCGACAAGCATTTTGTACACCCTTGCTGTTCTTCTTTTAAATTTTCCCTCTATTCCAACCGAGCACAGCAAACCCAGAAACGGGGAACTGTGTTTCCCAAAAGCTCAGAGAATGCTTAGTGAGGCAGTGAAGGTTAAGTGTTCATTAAACCAAGAGGAAAACAGATGCAGCGAAAATCAAATCCACAGCATCTATCCATGTATGCATACGGTTCACAGAGAGAATGTGATGGGAGGACTGATGAGTTCATCTCGTCATATAAACACATGTACGCTTTACTACACACCTAATCTGTATTTAAATTGCACGCACACACCATCTGCATGCGTGCATAAGTGCACTCTGACATGACTTCGCATTCTGAGCTCATTATGCAACAAATGTAGTGGCCGATTTGCTTTCATCCGTGAACGCGAGCGACAATGTTAACAATGACAGTAAGTGACACAGAAGTGTTGGTAGCGTAGATGCGATGCTCTTTATTGTTCAGTCCCTCTTTGCTGTGACAGTGATGGATAAGGCCAGGCCGCCGACAAAAGGCAAGGACAGAGGAGTACATAAGAACAAACGAGGCATACTACAAAGAGAACAGTTTGGCTGCAACTCAATAAGCCAATTTCACTTTCTTTGCTTGTCATCACTCTTGTTACCAGCCTCAAGGTGCAGCAAGCAATTACGGGGGAAGGAGATGGACTCGTTTGAAAGAATACTGATGTACTGAAAACTCTACCCAAAAAGAAGGGAAGCTCCACCACTGAGCATTTTAAGACTACCTGAAATACGTAAAGAAGTGTGTGATGGGCAGCAGTGGTCACAGAGTTTCAGGTTTAAAATAAGCCCTGTGGAGTATTGAGTGCTTTTTCTCCAAAATAAAATAATTGCAAAGCTTCTTTTTTTTTTTTTAAACGTTTTAAATATACTGAATTGTTTACATCAACAGGAGATTGGGAGCCTTGGTCAAAATAGAAACAGCGTGTATATGGATGCTTCATAGTGCTATAAAAAACCCAAAGCGTATCAATCAGCTGCTTTAAGGGTTTCTTAAGTCTTAAATCACAAAAGCTTTTTGTTATTAGCAGGAGCTGTACAAATCTGATAAATTAGCTCCTTGTTTCTGTCTTTTAGGTTATATTAGCCACTAACAGCTAAATGCACCCTAAACTTCAACTGCAGCTGGGTGAGCTGTTTGATTAATGTGGGCACCATCCAGTCTAAAGCTCAGTGATGGTGGCTTTCTGATTGATGCTGCATACAGTTGCTGTACAGGACACTACCACATATATCGTATGAATATTTGTGCTGAAAAGTTAAATGATTCCCACCTTCACTGTAAAACTGATGAGTGAAACAGCTGCTTTTTTATTACTACAATGAACACACGACATGTTTGCTAGCAGTACAGATTACACACAATCATGATGTGTGGGCTTATTTTCTATAAGGCAGTTCTGCACCTGCAGTGTTTTATTGTATCACAGTCATATAAAAGGAATGATAACAACTATCTCAGGGATTAAAAACCTGTATATATTGATGAAAGTCGTGTGACAGTTTCCTGCCATGACTGGAGTGTTTACCAGCGGCTCGATACTAGCGGGGGTCATTTTTTGTGTGTTTTAGAATATCAACTTAATTAAAAACACACGAGGCTTGTTCTGTTAACCTCCCATCAACAATAGTCAGGAGTGTTTACCACTTTTGCGAGCCGCCCCCTTTGATACAAGTTTCCCAAAGCCCTTCTAACACAATCACTCATTTGAACGTAGTCCGACTACTCTTGCGTAATCTATGCATATGCATGAGCTCCTGCTTTACACCACACTTGATGCTTGGCAGCACTTTGCTTGCACTCTAACAAGCAGCTTTTCTTCAAGTGTTTAGTCATTTTTAAAACATTCATTTGCAACATAACGCCGCATGAAAATCTTGCTAAGACACATTAGCAAAACAATCATTAAATATTGAATTGCAGTTCAGTCAGTCGACCTTTGATAATCACCCATATTTATGTAATGAATAGGAGGGTAAACCTCCAAAACACAGCTATTTCACAATCGTGTTCCCCCCTACCAAAAACAAACCAGTTTAAAATATAATTAAAAACAGAGTGCAATGATAATGCAAATAATTTAAAGACTCATATTTATTTGAAAATGGATGCAAAGACAACATATCCAATGTTATAACTGGTCATTTTTCTAGATATTTTTGAAAACGTGTCCGTTTTAAATATGAAGCCAGTCTCTTGTCCCAAAGACACAATGTTTTCCACTAACTTGCATCATTTTAGAAGTGAAATATTTTATTAATCTTACTTTTTAAAAAATAAGATTTCTAATGTTTCACAGTTTAGAGCCTCCTTTGTCATATCTTTTGTTTTAGTTTAGTAATAGGTCTGCACTGCAGGCTGGCTACATTAACTCCCCAAGTCTTTCACTACAGAGCCGTGCTGTTGTGACAAATGCATTGCCTTGGAGAAATAATGGGTCAGCATTAATGGTGCTTTATAAATGTGCAAGATGTGCCTCAGTGCTTGTGTACTATTTTCAATATCATGAAATCATTTGCAGATGATCGCGTTCTGTTTATTAGCATTTTACAGAAAAGTCAACTTTTTCGGTAAAAGAGTTATTTGGTAAATTTTAGTGGTATTTTATTATTTTACCGTTTTCTAATCTTAAAATATGTACGACACGAATTGATATCACACAAGGACAAATGTACTGGGCCATCTCATTACATCTATAGGAGCTGCTCGATCATGGGAACCGATGCCATGAAGCTCCTGGTGCACAGTTTCTAAGCTGATGTTAACACCTGCAGATATTGAGTCACTTTTATGCACTGTGTGCCTCAGCACTCGGCAACGCTGCTTTGTTACTACACATAGTCTGCAACTTTGTGGCTCGAGTTGCCGTACTCCTAATGCTTGCTCTTCGAAGTGATACCTCTCACAGTTGGTTGCGTTTGTAAAATTTGCAAAGGTGGAGCACACTGCTAGGTTCTTGATTTTATAGACCTGTGGCAATGGGACTGAAAACCCCTGAATTCGAAAATAAAGAGGTGTGGGCCAATATTTATGTCCATATTATGTTTGCAGGGAAGGTTTAAGAATCTTTTGGAATAAATTGCCTCCATTTATTACTCATAAAATGTGGCTGCTTTTATTCTAAGTCACAATCCTGGTTATCCCAAACCTTATAACCGTGCATCAAACTAAGATCACTGGTTATGTGATCATGTATTTTTGAGAGGACATACAAATTTACACTCATTTACAGCCATTTATTCATTTAGCAAGGGGCTATTCAAAAACTATGAAGGGAAGGAAAAAGGAGAAACTTCTTTTTTTTCCTTTTTAAGTGAAACTGACTCCCCAGACATTTTCACAGTCTCTTAGATATTTTAGTTTAGTTTGGTGTTTAAACCAAATCCTTTACCGTGATTATTAAATTGAATTTCTAACTTCTTTTGATAATTACTGCACCCATGGTAACATTAAGTTATGTCACACATATCACAGATTTTCTATAAAAGTCATATAATATATCAGAAGCAGGAAGAAGGAATGCCCGTTGCCTGGTGGTCCACGCCACTGATGGTGAATCAGTGTTGTCCAAAAATGTAATGGCACTAAAATGCTGAGACATAAGCAGAGAAAAAAAAATCATTTCCAACCAAAGACTTTAATCCCCCCCCTTTGACCTCCTTCATAAGCAAACCCGTTCCCTACCAACCCAGAGCAGGAATGCAGCTACAAATACTGTAGGCACTGTGACCATGAAATACTTTCACTACAAAACTTAAGAAAAACAACATGTCCCCATCATCCCAGTGTGTTTGAGAAAATAGAGAAGATTCCAAGCTAGTCCATGTGCAGCTTATAGAGTCTTACAAAGAGTCTTGGCAGAGAGTCTTTCAGTCTCTCAGTGAGGTAAAAGACACTATTTGATTGGGTCCATCAATAGGCAGTTTCAGGGGAGCAATTCATCCCTTACTTAGCCAGGCAGCACAAAGAAATCTTTTCATATTCTCCTGGAATTGCCTGCAGTGAAGGTTTAGGTGACCCAGGCGTTTTATCTGTAACGCCTTTAGTGTCCTTCAGATGCTCCAAATGTCCTTTCACACATTTGAGCCTGTGGTTCACAGTCCAGAGGCACTGCAACATCGTCCCCAGATCTGAGTTCAAAGGCCCTCGGGTTAAAGGTCACCACTCTGAGGTTCAGGTCTGGCTTCCTGGGTGTTCCTGCGGCCCAGTCTGGGAAAACGCGACGAAGTTTTCGACCGTGGCGTCTTGGCTCCGCCATCGTTGGCTTGGGGTGTGTCTCTAGATAAGAGAGAACAGCAGGAAGGAGAAGAAAGACACGTGGAGTTTAAACGAACATCTGCTGAAGTTTATTACCAAGTTTATTATTCAAACACACCACTGATGCTGCGTCTGGTGGAATAAATGCATCATTTCCCTTCTGCCACAGAACCTCTCCCCTTTGAAAACCAGCTAATAGATACATTTCCATTTTGCTTCTCTAATGGACTGTTTGTTTCCCTTTAGTTACTATTACTACATCTGCCAAGATTCTCTCTTGGATGGCTCATTTGCAGTTTACAACAGATTCATTATTCAAAATTTGGAGCAATTTTTGAAATGTAAGGTCATTGCTTTTAGACAGAGGGTGACAAGAACAGACTTCTCATTTCTAATTAGTGTGGGGTTTTTTTTCTCTGACTAACTGATTAATTCAGGGATACCTGTATACACGGGAATAAAATTAAAGAATTGTTTTTCCAATTCAATGCAATTTTATTTATGTTGTGCCAAATCACATCAGTCGCCTCAAGGCATTTTGTATTGTAAGGTAAAGACAGTGAAATAATAGCAAGAAAACCCCAACAACTAGCCCCGCCCCCCATAAGCAAACACTTGGCGACAGTGGGAAGAACAAACTCCCTTTTAACAGGAAGCCAGCTTTAGTGTTGTAAAGCCACAAAGTCCTGTCATTAGTTGTGTAATTATAAGAAATGTGAGATCGAGTTCTAAAAGCCTCTTTTTCTTGGCTTACATATTTGCTTAGATTCCTAATCAAATCCTAAAACAAGACAAAATCCTTTAAAATGGATTACATAAACTTTTATAATATAAATTTATATAAACTTCTGCTACAGTGTGAAAAATGTTGCAGTATGTAAAGAAATCCATGGCTTGAGCTTTTGCAATGATTGTATAATCACTGTTAGTTTGACCCTTTTTTAATTTCAACCTGATGACATTGAACGAGAGCCACTTGTCAAACAAAGGAAATCAAAGGCAGGAGACCGAACACATCGAGTTGAATGCCTTCTCTGTGTACCTGCGTTCTCCTGCTCAGATTTGATTCCTTTCAGAAACAACCAGCAGCGACTGCAGCAAATTAATCATTATTTCTCAAATACAGCATATAAGCCAGTCACCTCTCACTGCTGCTGGTGACAAAACTGTGACCATTAAGTGTAAATAAAAAATGGGCACAGTCAAAAAAGTCAGCCATAGTTTTTTTTTGACACCTTTAGAAGCTAAAATTCAGCATCTTGGCTGCTTCACAACAAGCAAAAGGTGGATCAGACTGAGAAATCAGGGACACTGTATGCTCATATATACTTGGTCAAATGCAAAGTGGCCACAACCTAAAGTAGACCCTTGTTTATTGTCAGTTTTGGCCTAAATGGGACTACTATTTATATAATATTACATATTTTTGATTAAATTCCACATGCCACTAGCTTTAGGGCTTGAACTCATATCAGAAGAGTGTTTACTGATGTATTTTTTCCAGTATCCTGCTGCACTTGGTTTCACCTTTGTTACCTGAATGCTCCATCTTTCTCACACAGTCTGTGGCAGTGACTCTGTAATAGAAGCAGTGGGTTCAACTGTTCAAGTAGCAATAAGGAAGAGAGCATCTCCTTCTTGATGTCCAATTGGCCCAAATTAATGACGCACCGCAGCTGCTGGAGGTATGATTAAGATTAGCGGGGACATCTGAGCTGTTCAATGTTAGGGACTTTCATTTCCACTCGAACAATACGGGCTAAAAATAAACACACTTGTGGCATGGTGAATGGGTGGAAGGCAGCAGGGGCAAAAAAGCTTCACGGTGGCGGATCCCAAAAACTCTGTCATGTTTAAAGATGGATACATAGAAGGAACAGTCACAGCACAGCCAAAAATGCAGTATATAAATGCACTGCTCGCAAGTGTCTGTGTCATAATCATCAAGATCAGAGAGCTTTGGGCTACAGCGAACTGCCTCAGATCAATTAATATATGGTGAATATTTTTCCCCCCCTCTGGCATAACGTACATTTAGCAGTGGCTCAAGTACCACTTATTCCCAGAGCTCCACTGCACCAGGCAGACTCAATCAAACACAGTCACACTATTTGAATTTGACAAAGATTGGGGAAAAAAACTGATATGATGGGGAGTTTTATCAGCAAAAATCATACTAAATTGAGTGCAGCATGCAGAGTTGAAACTGCAAGCCACCTCATTTATTCATAGCAAACTGTGTAAAATAGCAAAATGTGTCAAATTAATTAGGCCTATAGATTTTTTTCCTGCCTCTCAGCATGTGTTTGTCCTCCATTTGGACACGATATTGATTTGTGCAGGATAATAACTTTCCCAGGCACTGTTGGAATATTAAAAACTTGAATTAAGAGACATCTAATTAGAGGAAACAGGAGCACAAATACAAGCATGCAACTAAATGACTGCCTAACCCAAAGGTAGGTTATAATAAACAGTACAGTTTGAATAAATATCAATTCTCAGCCATACACACACAAACAATGCACCACCGCAGTAAAAGGTTGTATACTTATTCTAAGGTCAAACTGCCTGAAACTCCTCAGCAGTGAGATAAAGGTCTACAAAACTCTTTTTTCCCCTGATGCAGCAGGTCAGTAAGGCAAGAGCCCAGACTGAGTACCGTGTTCTGAGTAAACTGCAAAAGTGGTGAGGTTGAGCTGCATACTAAGTGGTGGCGAATCTAGGAAGAGGTGTTACCTCGTCACTGTTCCAGACAAGTGAGGAAAATTGCAGCATGCAAGACTGGAGAGAGTGTGGAGAGAGACGAAGATCTGTGGCCAGATAAGTGCTGGCCACCAAACAAAGTGTGTGCCTTATTTCTTAAAAAAAAAAACAACAACAAAAAACACACTGCTGTAACTGAAATGGTAAATGAACTGCTTTTATATGGTGCTTTTCAAGTCACAAAGCATTTTACACTACAATCAATGATTCACACACACACAAAAAAATCACAGCTAGGTCTGCCCATGTTCGCCTCATCATCAACGATGAAGGACAGAATCACTGACCTTCTGACTGCTGAACTAGGTGTGTATCACAGTGAAGCTGGTCATTGTTAATAAAACAAGGGTACATCCACGCTAGCAACTTTATAATCCTGCTATCAATTAAGCAAACGTTTACATTTATTGGCACTTCTGAAGTAAGCTTTCATTTGAAAAATGATCTTAAAAACCAAATCAATCAATCAAAACTCCCATAAAATTGTGCACTTGAAAAATAGACTAAACTGTTTATAAAGCATCTTCTGTTTGCTTTTCTAAACCTTAACTTTAGCATTTTTGCTACCACCATGTTGGTTCATTGGAGCCAGAAGTCTCCAAACTTAAATAAGGTGCCTAAATGCCAAGTTATCAACTGATGCTAGAAAAGTCTGTTAAAATGCTCCAAAAAAGCTAAAGAAGTCACTTGAATTAGCTTAGCTTAGAGCAGTGTTTCCCAACCACTGTGCAGCGACATATAGGTGTGCCATGAGAAATGATCAGGTGTGCCGTGGAAGATTATCTGGTTCCACCTGATTGGTACTCTCAGCGATTGGCTGAGTAACGGGCAGAACAATTACATTCTCTTCCACTAGAAGGCAGTACAACTACCTGCTCTAATTAAGTGAGTTGCCAACTGCCAGTAAAACAAAAGAAGACGCAGGGCATAATAGCAATAGCTAAATATTTAAAAAGAAAAATTAGTCAATCTGCCCTGTGTCCTGGAGACAAACCAAGCTAATTCTGCTATACCTGGTGCACAAGGAAAAATTATCAATGTGCTTTTTGTGATATTTTTGTTTGGTGGTGTGCCGTGTGATTTTCCTAATGTGAAAAATGTACCACGGCTCCAAAAGGTTGGGAAACGCTGGTTTAGAGCAATCAGCTACAGCTACCTATCAGTCAATCAAAGTGGCCACTGGACTCACTTTAAGCATTAACTAAATCCTAAATGGGTGAGTTAGAAACTAAACCCATTTTCTGGTTTTATTTAGTGAAGACAATGTTTTTAATGTGTTAGATTTATGCATTTTAACATGGGAATCTCTGGAAACGGACTCACTTTTCCTTTTTTCCCCCTTTTTTCCTACACTTCAACTCCTCATAAACAAAGTTTCAAGTAATATCAAAAACCACAAAGCCTTTACTTTTAGAGCCTGCCTCATGTAACCACTCGAGGAACACTGCATGTTAATTTAAGTGTGTTGTGCAGTGAAAAAAACAAACAAAAAAACACTGAAGATCACAGAAGATACAGCATACTGACAAACTCTTTGTACTCCGTTTCGCATTAGAGACGTTTGAGCCTCTGAAAATAAACACACCGTCCACTGTCACCTTAAAATCTCATCCTGTATCAGACTGCTGTGATCAAATAGATACGCGTCAGCGCTTATGTCAAAATAATGCAAAGTAACAGGAACACTTCCAGCTCTCTGACACTTCAGACAAACCACGGGAGGAATAGTAGTGTTATAGCTGTTTAATGACTCACAGCCCATATCGAAAAGCGATGGTAAACTTATTTTTGGAGTTTGTGACAGGAATACGGTCAGTGCAAAAAAACACGAATTTTCAGGTGTTGACGTCACTGCTTCAGCAGCAAAAAGCTGTCATATCAATTCTGGCTTTGAGTGATGCATCTCTCTCATAGCGATCTTTGAGCCACTGCAAGATTTGTTATCTTGCATTTGTGCCTCTTCAGTCTTAGTGTTTGCCATTGTATCTGCCAAATCAGCAACCATACCTGCTGGCATCTTGTAACCCCAGACAAGTATTGGCTGTGCACAGTTAACAGAGGGGGCGGGGAAACAGCTATTAAGAAAGTGAGCTGAAAAACTCGTGTGCACAGATGCACTGAATATCTGAAACTGTGAAGTAAACAATCGAGAGCTACTTTTGAGGTGAAGGTCACAGTTTATGTTAATGTTTCTCTCTGACACTGTGGTCAGATAATAAAGTGATGCATGGTTTCTTTAAAGGCCGAGCGCTGCTCAACCTTGCGCCTCCTCCACCTCCGACCCCTCCCTCTTCCTCCATCAACAGGTTCATGACCACATTATTCAGGTGCTCATTCCTCACCGCAGAGGTTAGACATCATGAAAGCACCAAAGGCAACATTATCAAGGGCTGTTGAGATGCACGGCCCCTTACAAACCCACAGGAGTCGGTATTATTGTGGTGCAGTAGGCTGATCTGAGTTGATGAAGTGTCATCTACAATTTCACTGAGTCGTGTGTAAAGATTTCAGCGTCACTACAAATTACAACAAGAAGACAACAGCTGTTCAGTAACTGACATATTTAGGCTCTCTGCTACATGCTACACGTCTGCTTGCACACCGACTACAAAGCTTAGTTGTGCGATGGTGTCACTACGGTTACACTGCAAACCAGAGGTTTTTTTACTTGTAGTTTTAATTGAAAACCAGCACAAATGAGCTTGTCAGCACGTTTGTTTTCCCTTTCTCCTCTAATACTTTGTTGTCCAAAAACCACACACAGAAAATATAAAATCTCAAGGACATGCTTTAAATGGGTACACACTAAGATGTACATCAGACACCAAATGACAAGGAAGGACTGCAGAAAGTAATGTCACACCGCTGAGTTATACCACACACACACACAGACTCACTCCTGAGGTGAAAACAATATCATCCACGCTGGAAAAGATATAGTCGTTTCATTTTGAAAGATGACGCCGATGTCTCGGGAGAAGAAACAGCATTCCACTCGGATGGCGCGACAGGTCAGACATGCTGGCTGATCGCAGTAAGTGGAAACTGATGTGAATATTGACAGGAAACGACTGGAACATCTCATTTTGAAATGTAGCCTGGGCGGTAGGTGGGCATCCGAAGCATCATACATTTTCACACTTGCTAGTCTGAGAG